TTCCAAATAACTCTTCCCTATATATATATATATATATATATATATATATATATATATATATATATATATACCTGAAAAGTTTGAGGCCCGTGCTAAGTACGACCCATAGAGGGTAATTTGGTATTTTATTTTACCGTTATCTAAAGAATATTGTGCTAATAACCGAAAAATGTGAAAGTACAATGCTATAAATGGCTAGATTTTCAATGCACAACGGATTAATAAGAAAAAAATAAAGTATATTGTTATAATCAACAAATGAAAGAAAATCCATTACGATTTCCTGATATGATTTGTTCTCCTTATGGAAAACCTATCAACATCTACGAACATTGGGATTAATCATGAAATATCATCTTTGATTCTAATTCAAGAATTTATCCACTCATTCCTTTGTTGTCCGTTGATCTTTATTGCTATGCCCACTAAAAGCTTTTTTTTTAGATCTGAATTATCCAAGTTTGCACACTGATACATTACCACGTTAATTCCCGCTATGTAAGACAGATTTATAAAGTACTTTGTATTTCTTATAGACTTGGGAGAATCATCCCATAGTAGTTACACTTATCAATAGTTAGCATAAAAAAATGTGAACCATACCATCTAAAATGTCCACATCAACCACCTTAAGGCCCATATGGAAGGTTAATTGTGGAACCTTAGAGACATTTGGATGTGTTATGATTTAAATTGTAGACCTCGTATGTGGAATAAATTTTTATCTGATGGAATGAAAAATAGTAACTTGGTTCTCCTTATGGGGGCTAGGGAGAATTATCATATTCTTCAACCTCCTTAATCAAATTTTATAATCCTTATTGGTGATTGACAACACTTTCTTTATGTTATATCAGATATAACATTGAGGAGTGTGTAGGCATGTATTTTTTGTTTCGTCTTAGTTAGGTTATGTTGGAGATATAATATTTAACTATAATTAAAAAAAATTAAATGAGGACAATGTGATTTCAATTTTTTATGGTTTGATATATAAATATCAAATACAATAAAAACCAACTTTAAATCCATTTTGATAAAGCTTATGATATGGTTTCTTGGTCCTTTTCTAGATCGCATGATACACTTCATGAGTTTCGGACGTAAATGGAGGTCTTGATTCAAGCATGTTTAATCTCTGTTACGGCTTCTGTTTTGCTCAATGGAAGTCCCATAAATGAGTTTCAATTACACATGGGTTTGAGACAGGGAGATCCTTTATCTCATTTCCTTTTCATTCTCGTTATGGAATTGTTACATGTGACTATTGATGATGCAAAGGAGGCTAATCTTTTTTTGGTCTGTAGGTTGGTAAAGGTAATTTGAGGATGCCACACTTATTCTATGCGGATGATGTGTATTCCTTGGTGAGTGGAAGCGTTCTAATATTGTTAACATTGTTCGAGTTCTTCATTGTTTTTACATGGTTTATGGTCTAAAAATTAATTTACATAAATCCAATCTTTATGGAGTGTGTGTTTTGGTTGAATAGATGGATAATTTTGCTTATGTTATGGGATGTAGGGCAGATAAACTAACATTTACTTATATAGGTCTTTCGGTGAGACAAAATATGACTAGGGTGGTAGGATGGAAAGTCGTTATTGATCGGTTTCAGAAGCATTGTGTGCTTTGTTTTTTTGAGGAGGGGATGAGGATACTCGTAAAATGTCATGGGTCAAATGGGATGTGGTGCTTGCTGACAAAAAAACGGTGGTCTTGATATTGGGAGTCTAAGTGCCTTTAACTTAACTATTCTTTAGAAATGGTGGTGGAGATTCTTGAATAATGTAACTTGATTTGGGCGAACGTTGTTAAGGAGTTGTATGGGTCTAGTGGGGGTTTTAATCGAACTAGAAGTATTGGGTGTGTGTCGTGGGCTTGAGTTTTGACTTCTTTTTCTAAACTTCAAAACTGATGGGTGTGTGTTTGATTCTTTCATCAAGAGAGAAGTTCGTAATTGGATAACTACAAAATTCTCGAAAGATAGATGGCACAATGACATTTTGCCGACTAGATTCCCAAGATTGTTTGAGCTAGAGTTGGATAAGGATTGTACCATTGCAGATTGAAGGGTTAGTGAAGAGTGGTCTTGGTCTTGGTGACATCATTTACATAGGGGTGAAGAAATGGTTCAATTTTCGGATATGATGGAATGTATTTAGAATGTTATTTTGTCTGGTTAAGTGGATAGATGGGTATGAGAAATTGGTTCTGATGGGTGTTTCACAATTGGAGATACTATGAGGTAGATTGATGATGCGGTTTTACCTTCCTTGGGAATGAAAACTAGTTAGAATCCTTTTGTCCCAAGAAAGATAAATATTTTGATATGACGTGTTTTGTTGGATAGACTTCCAACCCGGAGTAACTTAGCAAACATAAACATGGATGTTCCTTGAATTTTGTGTATGATCTGTCAACTTGAGGTGGAGCAACTCAATCATCTTTTTATTAGGCGTGAAGTGACAGCTAAAACTTGGAATGTTATTTTATCCTGGCTTGATATTGATGATTCAGATTTTGATATAGTTCATGGGTTATTTAACTACACTTCTTAACAATAGATACATGGATATTTTAGTCAATTAAACTATATTTAAAAATCATTTTGAAATTGACTAATTAAAATAGCCGATGCATCTGCATCCCAAATTACATTGTCCTTATAGACGTGCAACACTAAGTAATCCAAACCAACCCACATTAATGACAAACAATGAATAATCATATTTCTTAAACGTACTAATAGAACTCTATGAATAAGCAAAATGAAGGTTTAATTAGTGATAAAGATAAATATATATAGGAAAAACACTAAATTCGAACACATTTTGCTTTCATTCCCACATATGGAGTATTTAACAATTGAAGCTATGTACCATGTGTCCATCTTATTCATCCCAAATTTTTAGTTGATAATCATTATCAACTTACCTATCTGGTTATCGTTCATCTTGATTAATATTTTTGATTTTTGAAAAAATTATGTTAAAGGATTATACTTATTTTGTAATTTATTTATGGAATTTTAAATTTTGAAATATACTTATTGTTATATTAACGGTTGAGGTTAATCGACAACCCACACAGAAAAAGAACCTAACTAACCATTGGTTAACAAGTTTTTGGTTTAAGATCAAGAAATAGCAATATATAAATCATGATTAATATTTTGATAAATAATTCCAGTTCTGTTAACCATCCGCTAAGACCCCTAATTCTCGATACACATCAGTTAGTATATTTTAAGAATTATATTGAATTTTACTAGTTTATAAAATTCAATTAAATGTTAATATACATTAGCAAAATAAGAGATATATACACTAAAGTCCCAATATTTTCATCGATTTGACAAGAAAGTCCTAAACTTTATTTTTTTTACAGTAAAATCCAAATTACCGGCAGTCTTTGACACTTTTACCATTTTTTCCGGTTAACCGGAAATTATGACTTTTTTGTCAAAAAATAAAATTTAGGATTTTCTTGTCAAATCGTCAATTAGGACTTCACTGTCAAAAAAATAAAGTTTAGGACTTTCTTGTCAAATCGTTGAAAATATTGGGACTTTAGTGTATATATCCCTTTTTTTGTTAGAAATTTAATGGTATGATACTCTTTAAGTATAAGAGTTATTGAAACCTTCTCTAGTCAGCTAGATTCTATTGAAATCCTTAACATTTGTTTTTTGTTAAATCCTTTTTTTAATCTCAACAAACCGACATTGAAAAAAATGGTGATAATCAAGAAAGAAAGAACCAGTGTTGTGTTGGCTTTTTGCATTTCAAAAAATGGAGAAATATGAAACCGAAAAAAAAAACGAAATTGCCTTTCTTTCCCTTCTCCACATTCACAGCTTTTTAACTAGGCATGTGTTGTTTGTGTTTGTATAATCTGTCCCCACTTTTTAGTTCAAGATTTGGCGGCGAAGCAAGAAGAAAGTTTTACTAGTCTTTTCACCATTTTTCGCTCTCTCTTTTGCATATGTTTCTCCTCATCGTGATTGTGTCTAAGTAAAGATGATGATGGTAAGAAAAACAATGGTGTTGCAACAAAAGTCACAATTAAAAGTTCTTGGGATACGAAAATACACTAAAGTCCTAAAATTTTCAACGATTTGACAAGAATGTGTTAAACTTTATTTTTTTGACAGGAAAGTTCTAATTGACGATTTGACAAGAAAGTCTTAAACTTTATTTTTTTGACAAAAAAGTCCTAATTATCGGCTAACCGGAAAAAAAGGGTAAATGTGTCAAAAACTGCTGGTAATTTGGACTTTAATGTCAAAAAAATAAAGTTTAAGACTTTTTTTGTCAAATCGATGAAAATATTGGGACTTTAGTGTATATATCCCGCAAAATAATATCAAAAGTTCATAAGAAATAAATATATTATAAAAAAATAAAAAAACAAAAAAATTAGATCATCTCAAATAACTTATATAAATTAATATTATAACATCTTATATATAAGTTTAGTAATATTAAATTTAAAGTATATTATTAAAAACTGAATTTAAAAATTCTAAATGATAATGGAATATTGGAATGGGTTTGGGACTTGGATTGGGTTTCATTAAAGGCCATACTGTTTAATATGTACGTGACCCGAAGCCCAAATTGTGAATGGACATTACAAGAAGATGTTATCGCGTGCGGTGCACGTGAAATCCCTGCTTATTTTATCGAACCCCTCTTCTTCCTCCTCCGGCTTCCAAAAGGATCGGCAATGGCTCTGCTCCACCGATTTGGATGCTGTTCCCCACCTTCTCCTCCTCCTCTTCTCTCATTCCAAAAGCCAACCTCCGGTTCCGTTTTGTTTACGGTCTCTTCCCTTCCCAGCCGCCGCCGTTTTCCGCGGAGATTTTCATCGTTTAGATTAACCGCAACCCTCGCTGCTGAATCACCGGCTGGTTCTGTGTCGGACGGAGGAGGTGGACCGCCGAAGCTTCTTATGGAAGTCAAGGACCTCACTGCCGTCATCGCTGAATCGGGAAAGAAAATTCTCAACGGTGTTAACCTCTCAATCTACGAGGGCGAGGTCTCTTCTACTTTTTTTTTTTTTTTTTTTTTCAAATTATACTGTTCTGTGATTTTATAATTGAAGTATTATTGATTTGTTTTCTGACTTCAAACGCAGTATCTTTGAATTTCCAAATTAATATGGAGATTTTTATGCACTCGAATTCAGTATTTTTCCTGTTTTTGTAATTGTTATACTGTTTAGTGTAATGATTTTTTATTGTCAGCAATCAGAAGAATTTAATTCATACTTGAACTTAAATTATCGGCTGTTTGACTTTGAAAGCTAAAGTGCATAATGCCATCTCTGTAAAATCCTGTGTTTTTCTGATGTATTAATCATAAGTTACTGGTATTTGTACCCATCTCTAATGATGTGTTGATTGTTTATTTGACTAGATTCATGCTATTATGGGCAAAAATGGTTCTGGGAAGAGTACTTTTGCCAAGGTTAGTATGCTTCTTCATTTATTTGTTGCATCTTTAACTGTGTATTTGTTGTTGAAAAGCTTAACAATAGGTGGGATAAAAATTTACACTTAAATTGTATTTGTCATTATTAAGATAGGCAAATGAAAGGGAATTGAGAAAATGGTCCTAGAAACAGATTCTCCTGGTAATAAAATTAAAGCTTAGTATTCAAAATATAATTTCCATTTCTAAGTCATTTACTTCATGACTAATCCATTATAGATACTAGTCTAACATCATACAAACATCCCATATCACACCATTTAATTAGTGATGAAAATATAATTGATCATTTCAGTGAGTTTGTTTATGATTTTGTAGGTTCTTGTTGGGCACCGAGATTATGAAGTTACTGGAGGATCTGTTATTTTCAAGGGAGAGAATTTGCTTGAAATGGAAGCAGAAGACAGATCACTTGCTGGACTTTTTCTAAGCTTTCAATCTCCAGTTGAAATTCCAGGAGTAAGCAACAGTGACTTTCTTCAAATGGCCTACAATGCCAGAAGAAGAAAACTCAATCTGCCAGAGCTTGATCCACTTCAGGTATACATATACTTCATCACTCCCTTATACTTTTCTAAATATTTACAAGTAGTTTGACATTTTTTGGTTTAGTTTTATGGTTACATCATGCCCAAGCTGGAAATGGTGAATATAAAGGCAGACTTTCTGAATAGAAACGTTAATGAAGGATTTAGTGGTGGTGAAAAGAAGCGAAACGAGATTTTACAACTTGCAGTATGTATATTCTCATAGCTATACCATTTTTATTAAAAAAAAAAAAAAAAAAACTTTTTATTGGTCTTATTTAATTTATCTTATTTTTTTTTTAAAAAGGTTCTTGGAGCTGAATTGGCCATATTGGATGAAATTGATTCGGGATTAGATGTTGATGCATTAAGAGATGTTGCAAAAGCAGTAAATGCTTTAATGACTCCCACAAACTCTGTTTTGATGATCACTCATTACAGAAGACTGTTGGAATTTATCAAGCCCACCTATATCCACATCATGGTATGTATACTATCATCTCCTGTTTCTATGTATGTATGTATGTATGTATGTATATGCAATGTTGGTGTTATGTTATTATGATTTATGAATGTGTGTGTTTGTAGGATGATGGAAGAATTACAAAGACGGGTGACATCTCCATAGCTAACATTCTTGAGAAAGAAGGCTATAAAGCAATGTCAACAACCAAATAATTGAAGGCTACAAGGTATTTATTGATCACTGATTTTCAAAGTATTACCACAAAATTATTGGCATTCTTTTACTTCAGGGTTATTAATGTCACTCACTTTATAGCCACCAACTATGACCATTTTCTTGTTCAAGTCACCCATCATTTAATTCTACTAAATATCCAATCCCTTTTACAAAAAAATAAATAATAATTAAATAAAGTTTGTCCAGTTAAACCTTTAGTGTAAATTTAGAAATGTTATTGTATGCGTACTTGGACAGCATAATGGTAATAGTTGGTGTCCATAATATATTTTGTAATATTTGTCGCATCTTTTGATGTAATTATAAAAAAAAAACATTGTTGTATTTCTGTGTAGTTTTTGACATGTAGAGAGTTTTTGGGAGTATTGGAACTACAAGTGAGACTTAACATGATGAGAAGTTCCGACTTGATGCACAAGTGTAGGTGTTCTGTGTTACTCTCTTTATTTGTAACTAGATAATTTATTTTGTAAATTTGTGATATACCCTTGGTTTTGTATAATCCAAAAAAACATCGTCATCTTAAAAAAGTGTGTGGGGGGTTGTTAAATTGTTACAGACTTGATATGGAACCGTTTATTTAAAGGGCAAAAAAAAGTCAAAAATTGAGCAAATAGTTTACATGCATAAATTGTGTAGTACACTATTTTAATAAAATATTGTGCCAAAATTGAATATGTGAAGTCAAATGAGCAACCCGATTTAAGGGTCAATTAGCATTAGCCTAACAATAATACGCATCATTATCAACTAGCAAATAAACAAAAGAGTAGGAGTAGGAGTTGGTTCATTTAATAGACTAAATATACATATATAAAACAATTGGGTTGTTGCCTTGTTTCTCTCATTTTTTTTTTCCAAGATTTTAGTTGGTTTGATCTGATTTGATTCAGAAAGTCGCATAATTGTTACAATATTCTAAAGATATTTATCCATGTTACGAATAGTTTACTGTTTGTATGAGTGCATACTTGTTTCTTCACCACTAGGCTTACTTCTATATGCTATCAGTCACATAGGTTGTATTTTGGGTTGCGGGATCATCACTCTCACAACTAGATTTCAAGATTTAAATATAAATATATTATTATGAGTTAGATAGACTTATAGACACAAACTGTCAAGTTGCATGTGAAAGTGTATTGCTATAATATCGTACCAGACTCTTTTCATTCTACTTTTAGAAAACTGAAATGACCTTACTAGCCCTCGAGAAGTTTGTTGTTGGTTTGATACCTAACTTGGGGTAGACTGAAAAGGGTGAAATATGCTTATAATTGCTTTCTTTTTGTTTTGTTTGGTTCCCTTTGGTTGTGAACAACAAGCATTACATGTTGAGAATCCCTTCCAAAAAAAAAAAAATTGCATGGCTGAAATTTAGGCTAAATTATTAACCATGGAAGGTCAATTAATTTTAATATATGTGATTATTAATCAAATGTATAAAGGACGATTTATGATGGATAAGTCGATTAATAGTTATTTTTCATAGTTATCTTGATACATCGACAACGAAATTGAAGTTTCGTTGTGATTGAGACATAGGGTGAATACAAACTCAGAATAATATATATGAAGGTTATCAAAGAATTATATAATATGCATAGACTATCAAATTATTATTTCTGACGTACTAGCAACTTAACTTTGTTTTTGAAAACCACTACTTCAACTAATACCACCATCTTTCGACCTCAAGAAAAAGTGTTGACGTAGTTGTCCTCTTTAACGTTAAAAAAGTGTATAATATTAAGATAACATATGTATCAAGAGGGTAGATGAGTTTTAGATTTTGAGAATTAAGGTATTTTTACAGTAAAATCGGCTAGAAAATTCATTGATGATGGAATGTTTGTGGTGGGATAGGACTTGAGAAGGTGTAAATAAGTTGGTCCCTATTACAACATATATTTCCTTAGTCATTTATAGTTTCTCAAACTTTAGTGCTAGCTGATAAAGATCATTGTACGATCGATACAATTGTAAACTAATCACATTGAAGATTTTGGATCAAAACCAATCTCCATAGTTGGATCTTGAGTTAAGACCTATTATAGTCGCATCTCCATCTCCATACCTTGCATCTTGATCTAGATACATCGTCTCTCAAGTTTGATACCATGTTGGCCCCATATATTAACCAAGTTATCACTATGACCAATGCATGGGATCTTCAAGTGTTGAACATCTCAATTGGTTCTCATACCAAATGATGTATAAAATACAAACAGGTGTGCATTTGTTGGTTGCGAGAATGAAAATTAAGAACACACTCAAGATAATCAAATGTTCTTCAAGAATTATGAAGATTCTTATGTCATATAATATACATATGAATTCTAACGTGATAAATATATATTTGTACATTCATATTAGTTTTAAAATAAACAACAAGAATACAAAATACATTCAATTATTATTATTATTATTATTTTAAAGAAATTAATCATATAGAGTATATAACACAAAACCTTTTATAGATATGGACAAAAAATAAAGGCAAAATTTCGTATATGCCATTGCTAAACAACTAAATATCATATTTACCCAGCCTAAATTCCAAATATCGTATTTGCCATTCTTAATGTTTTATAATATCATATATACCCAAATATATTTTTTTGTTAATTTTTATTGATTTATAATCCT